ATCAAAGTAATAAATTGTCTGCAAAAATGAATAAATAAAATAAAATAAAATATTAATAAATAAAACTGTTGATCTGAAAGTTGTTCAGTTTTACATGGCACGCCTTTTGAGATACCTAAATATTTTTGTAAAACCATCAATAAATATACATGTATTAAAAAGCTTAGTGTTGGACTCAAAGTATCCATGTTTTACTCCACGATTTGTGGGAAAAATCATTGTGAACACTTGTTTGTTTACCAGATACCAGAACATAGAATAGTAGAATGTGCATGTATAATAACTCTACAAAAGTTTACTAAAATGCATTTGTTTTAAAGCTTATGAAGAAGAGCAGTCTACCAGATCGTAAACTGAGAACAGATTTAAAACAAAATTTCAAATCAATATAACTTTTGAAATGAATCTGATTATAAAAAAATTATCATATGTTTGAATCTAAATGTTATACAAAATTGCAAAATCTCAAACAAATTCGTTTAATATATCTCGAGATATTAAAAATCAATATTTCGACTTAAGTCTTTTCTCACTTTATGGCCTCGGGGCCAGGTCTGCACTGTGCCAAATCACCTTTTTGAAATCAACAAAGCAAGCATATGTTTTTTCTTTCAATAAGTATACTTGTATTTGTTGATCAGAGTTTTTAAAACAACTATACGACATTGTTTTGTGAAGCCCGTCTGTATGGGACTTAAAAGAGTGTTACTTTCTAGTTAATTTGACAATCGATCTTGTCTGCAGAAGTCTTCTAAATGACTGTTCTAGGCAACTTTTAACACTCAAACCCATGTAATTAAATTCAGAAGTCATCCAATCTTAGCTTTGCTTTTCTGTTCTGTCTTTGCTTAGAATTTTTATAATGAGGTTCCACGACCCTAAAGTCTTATGCTGACTGACGTTTTTCATACTTATTGTTAGGCCATTATTTACACACTGAATTGTCGACGAACTTTTCCGTTATTTCCCGATCATGACAAGGAGCACACGGCGGGGATCCTCACTCCTCCATAGCACGTGATCCCACCTCTGATGTTTCAGAGGTCCGTGTTTGCTCTGCTCAAGTATTTGTATTGCTAAATGGACTTTTGAGTTTGAATACTCCAAAGAACATTAAGAAAAGTTGAAATTACAAAATTATATCAAAATCAATAACATTAAAACGTACGAGTTTTCAACACTTTATATTACCATTCTTCACGATTATTTGAAGTCAAATCTCTTGAAACCATTGACAGCTTTTTTTCAATAAAATGACATTAACAAACATTCCTTGTAATTGACAATTTGCAATTTTTTTTGTTTAAAAAACATTCTGATTGTACATACAAGTACTCTGAAGCTGATATTAAAAAGATGCTTGAGTTTCTGATTGACAATAACTAGACAATTTTTGGAGATGAGGTCTTCCAACAATCTGTCAGAATTTCCATGGGTACCAATTACGCCCCGCCGTTGTAAGCAGACCTATTTTTATATTCATATGATGCATATTTATTCAAAACCTTATACACGGGAAGCAGCAGAGTTAAGGCTACAAAAAGGGGGCAGAGCCTATTCATACGGAAAATGCTTAGTGTGACATCAAATAAAAAACGAATTTCTTACAATATCATAAAATAAAATAATTTGCGATTTTAAACTGTGTAAAACTAGGTTAATCCTATACAGCAAGGTATAGACAAATTATTGAATGCAATGCATCATGACGTCATCGTGGAAAAATTTGACGCAGTTAATGTGCAGTAATTTTTTTTACAATGAAAAATAGATTTTGTTATTTAACATAATATTATTTTCAAATTACAACTTATCCAAAATATTTCTTTAAATGCCATTATTAAATAATTATAGTTAGAATGCTTGTAATTACTTCTACCGTGTTTTTTTGTATAGAGTTGAGGTGCTGCATTAAGGAGGTTCGATCCTGAGCTTTTGAGGTGATTTTGTTCTGGACCTTTATTCATAAAATTCAGCATCATTTCTAAGTTCAAACATTAAATCTAGATTCTACAATGCAAATTAAACTATATCCAATGAAAAAACCGCGATTAAATTCCACTCAAATAGGATTAAGCCAGGAACTATATTTTGTGGCGGAAGGTTTTTAAGGAGAAAATGATCAATATTTCCCTTTTGAAATATATACAGTACTGTTAAGTTTAGATTCCTATTTTTCCATGCTGGTTGCACACAGAGCTGTTTTTTGCAGTGAAATGTTTTGTGCTGGTTCTGAAATATCTGTTAAATTATTTCTTATGAATGTTTTCATTATATTGTGACAAATATAGTTAATATATTCTGAAAGTCAATGAAAAAATTTAGCCAATTTTAACATAAAATTAACACTTTTTTTTAGTAATATCTGAAAATTTACATCATAGACTCCCACTTTTGTTTTTCTTTTCTGAATATATAAGATAACTTTAATCAATCTGCCTAAATTCAGCAAAAGTTTAAGACTTTAAAATAATTTTCTTGCTTGTTAAATTTTTAATGCCAGGGAAATCACACTTTTTGAGTGCAGAAAGGTCAAATAATTGATTATGCGAAGCAATTTGAAACTTTATCTTAGTCACAATTTTAAAGTGTCTTTTTTAAAGTAGACTAATAGTTTATTTTGTCCCATGATTTATTTGGATAAAAACATTAAAGGGAAAATGTCGAAGATGTGATTTTTGATTAAGACACAAATTTCAGTGCAAAAAGGTCATATTAAATGTACTGTAGCGCCAAAAGAAGCATATTGATCCCCATTTTTTGTTTTGATTTTTAATTAAGCTATGTGTGAAGAAACTAAAAATATACTTGACAAAAAAGTTTAAGACTTTAAATATCAGGATCCAACCTCGTTAAATCGCCTTTTCGCAAGGGTATACACTTAAAAGATCTTGACTATTTTTTAAATACTCATAAAGGGCATATTCCTTAACTTGAAAATTATTCTGCTTTCTTGAAATCGAGGACTTGACCAATAAGTATAAAAAAAAATACTTGGTAAAGGTTATACATATTTCATTATGAGCCCAGTTTCATGAAATTTAAACTAATAAAATGCGAATTGTATTTAAAGCATCAGCACTTTTCAGAAACTACAAAATATGCAGAAACAATTTTTCACATAAACTTTTAATTTGAACTAGAGTAAGCCCCTGCGATATTGAAATTTGTTAAATACCTCCATGCAGTACACATTGTACGCATTTCTCACGTGACTGTCCAATCCGGTGACCAAACTAAATTTAATACAGAGCGGGGTATACTAGATATTTTTCAATAAATATAAGAGTAATGTAATATAACAGATTTACAAAAATAAATTTGGTCTATAAAAGTTCCGATATCTGCACGTATATACTCCGTTGATTTCTTCATAGTACACATTAACGGTGCTGCGGAGGAAGAAGACACTTGATTGGGTTTCAATTCGACATTTAGATATATATCGACGATATATTATCAATAAACAATTACTTCCATTCAAATGTCTATTTGATATATCTCAGAGACATTAAAATAAAGATATCACAGAGTCTAACACATCTGTTTCATATTTGGATATTTTACGAGAAAAAGATGTTAATAGTAATCAAGCTGGCAATAAAACGTTATACCTTCTCTTCATTTGTCTACCAGAATCTACTCTGCTTTTTCTGCCAAAAGATAATACCAACTTACTTTGAATTGAAAAAGAGCATTTATTACAAAAGTCAATGCAAATAAAAACAACATAAATATACAGCAGTATTGTCTGATGTTAAAAATATGTTACACCTGTCACCAGGAAAAATTAAAAACAACCAAAAAGGTACATACAATACAAAATGAAGTGCAGATAAACGTGATGACTTTAACTTTTCATCAACTTTCTTACTAATGTAACAACATACCCTTATCACTTGCATAGGGGGTTTATGAAAAAGCATGCTCTATATACTAACAGTAACTTAAACGAGGCAAGCAATTAACAAACAGGTTGATAAAACAGGGATATCAACAGTCTTAATTAAAGTCATCATTTCACAAGTTCTATAGTTGATACAATGACCATGTCTGTATCATGTTTCTCGATGTCATTTATACTGTGCATATCATGACATACTGAGAAAAACAATGAGAAAAGAAACATACTCTCCAAATACTGTACTTTGATTCACAGTGCTGCTGAAATTTCTTATGCACAGCTGTTTTCGAGAGAAGTAAAACGATGCATGGTACACATTTGCTAGATCCTGCTGTATCTTTGTTTGGAGGGATTTTTTTTAATGAATTTAAGTGTATGTAAATTAAGACACATTGTTATTTTTGTGTGGATTATTGATTTGAAATTCATACAGTCTTGCCACTTGTGCATATTTCATGACGGATGCTAGCTAGAGCTTTATGAAAAATATACCTAAGTACAATCCTTTCTCATTTTCAAACCAATAAGTAACCAAAACCATATATATTTAAAAAAAAAATAAAAAAAAAAAAAATCCCGTATACATTCTGTGTTTGCTCTGCTACCGATTTGTTTTGTTTCAATGGACTTTTTAAACTTGATTATTATTCGTTATTTCCATATTTAATTTTTGTTATCAATGCTTTAAAGCAGCAAAAATACTTCCATTGTTTGAGTTCATACCCGCCATTCACCATTATATTTTTATTGACATCTCTGTTGCCTCCCAGTGACATCATGTTGGCGAGTTTCCCTGTGTATATTTCTACACGTGAGTACTCAGTATTCACAGAAACCGCATTCTGATTAATTCAGAGTAGGCTTAGTAGAAAAACACAGCAAATGTAAATTCCTGTATTTTATTAGAAAGCCAATTATAGTAAACTTTATTACATTTTTATTTTGTATCAGGAATTATCATTTTTTTAATTTTTCATTTTTCCCATAATAAACAAAGTACTTGTAAATAAACACCTTTACATTTATGATATACTCACACATGCTCACTCACTCACACCATCCACATTGTTTTGGAATTATTAGTTCTTAATATGCTTCATTTATCAAGACTTCGTATCCTCAACACCGTGGCCTTTTTTAAATTGTGGAAGAGATCCTGTCTAGCTGCTTCGCGATATGAATACAGGGCAGCCCAAAGATCACCTTGGAGCTGTTGACAAATTCCTAAGATCTGCCAACATATGTCTCTTGTACAGGGGCGAATCAAATCTCCCTCTTCAACTAAATTCTTTAAATCATAAATGGCTACTGCCGCAATATATTCGTCAAATTTTCTGTAACATAAGAATTCTAGCATGAGTAACATAACAAATGGTGATATATGTATGGTTCCCTCGATATGACCCGTTAGACGCTGCTCATGTATTAATTCATCAATATAATGGATGTTTGTAGAGAGCCTGATGTCCCCAACAACAGCTCTCCTCATCTTTGTAGAACAAGACTGACCCCCAACTTCTGCTGTATATATATTGATATCTACGTCACTCATATACATAAGATAGGGTTGCTGAAATTCGTTATTTGCTATCTCTAGGATCTTTCGTGCTTTTATGTGTCGAAAAGTCTTGTAATAATACATCACAAGGTACAAGATATCAGAAACGAACCCCATTTTCGCAGCTAGTTTCAACATATAACATGATATCTTGTCAGCTTTATACATTAACTTGTTCATTACAATGTTAGCGCACCTGCTGTGTAACACAAAAGCTGTGCTCTGGAGAATGGTGACTGTAAGTTTCTGTGCCATGAGAATTTGATAGTTTGTATAGTTTTTAAGATATAAATTTATCAACGTTTCCATTGATCGTAGGAGATGTAAGCAGCGATTAAGATTTTGTGTAAATATTGCATCGTTATTAGATATCTCTCTAAATAGGTCTGAATCAAACACAACCTCCCAATCTTCACTTTGCTGATTAAAAGACATGCATTGTCTGGGATTACAAAAAAAATCTATAGTAAAGGATCTTACGGAATGACTCTGTTGCAGCAATGCTATACCCTTCTCATACAGTCCGTGCAATTCTAGGAATAACTCCCTTTGAGATTTACCGAATATTTTATTTAAAAACATGTTGTTTTCTGGGATGAAAAAGTTAGGACACACACCTTCATACACCCATTTAAGAAGGCGTTTAAAACAGACCCAGAAACACTCCAGAAGATTTTGTGGATACCAGTCAGGTATTAAATTTTGCTGAATCACCCAGAATACAGCTGTTTTCAAGTGATAAGAGGAAAGTAAGCTTTCTTCTATATTTTCCCTGATAATTTCTTTAAGAATTAGTTTGAGTAAACCATACGTGAGAAATTGACAGTGGTTCATGCAGTACACAAGTTTCCGTTCTGCGTAAGAGAATGAAATTCTCCATTCATTTTCCTCGTGATTTCCTTGCTTGTGCCCTATTGCTACAAAGTGACATCCATTCCTGACAATATCATCAACTACATGCGGGCTCGGCCACGAGTGACATCTATCGATCCATGCTAAGGTAGACGGAGGCCAGAAATCACTTGCAAAACAGTAGGCATCATCAAATTCTATTCCTTTGAAATTTCCACTTCTACAGGGGCCATGAACGTGTGAATCCGGCCTGGATGGAAAGTGCATATTTTCTCGAAATTTAAAACTAGATAAATAGTATTTTTCATACATTCTAAAGCATGAGGCCCAGATTTTTACTGTTAATTTGGCTGGTAAGAGCAACTGAAGCAGCGTGTATCCTGGCGGGCTTTCGGAACAGTCAGAAAGAAACAGTGTATATCTGTTGTAATCCTGATTCTGAGATAAATTCCATATAACCCGATACTGATCGAGCGAAATCATAGCGTCCCTATCAGACTCATCCAGTCTAAATCCTTCCTTATAACTTCCACTTAATATTATACGAAAATCTTTGCTCGATTCACTGAACAAAATCATCATTTCCCTGAAATCACTTATATCTCGCCTCATAGTCACCTGTTCTGAGGTCCCCAATTTACGACAGAGTACCATAAACACCAACTCTGACATGTGTTGCATACCCTCCATACTAAGATGAGAAATGCAATAAGACACGTTTAACAGATGATGGTACAATGCTTCATATTACTAGAATGTAAATCAATTTATTTTAACTTTTGCGACGCTTGACGTGTTGAGAGAAGCCATCCGCGAAAATCAATTGTTTGGTTGCAGACGATTTCTTTTATATGCAGACTTAAATCCCCAAACCTATTATCATGCTGTTGAAAAACGCTATTACACCACGGTATTAAAAACGCATTTGATCGACATACCTGAATGAAGCTGCTTTTTCAAAAATGAGATATAATTACATATGTAAAAGGTGTTAAGAAAGTTCGATACATAATGAAATATTTTTAAAAATTTAAAAATAGTGTTTAACTGAAGAGATTAACGTTCCTGTTTAAAAAAATCACAAGATTTTGCTTTCAGTTTGTAGCAATTAATTTCTAGTAAGAATTTATAGAATTTTTTCTCATTTGAAAATATGACAGAATGACAAGATGACAGAACTGTTTTGTTTCTTCACAGCATATGTTGTATCATATAAAACTGATGGGATTAGGTAAAAGAAAGATCAGTCACTTTTCAAAGAATAGGTTTTTCATATTGGAATTTTAAATTGACTCGATAAATTTTGCATAGGTTTTTGGAGGGATATGTTAATCTTAAGATTAATCTTAAGATATTTAACAAATTAAATATGCTGCATCCCTGATTTTGCTACACAGACATCATCTGTTTCAAGAACTGTCTTCCCTATTTCATTTCAACAAAAACACAGTCATTACCTTATCATTAGCAAGAACGGACTCTGTGAACATGAAATGTAACAAATTTTAAAAATTTTCTCATTGGAATTCTTTTTGAGAATGAAAGAAAAATGTGGAATAAACTTTCTTTACACTCTTTATGTTGAAGAAGTGTTGCTTGTTTTTTTTATTTGCAAAACCACTTCAGTGATAGTAAATGGTGCTCGAAAGTAGTCAATTTATTGTACAAATTATGACGTTTTGTTGCTTATTGTATATTTTCTAAATTACTAATCAGTCATTTGGCAAATTTCAAAAAATGATAAGGCATGTGTAGGTTCATTACTGCAACCATAAAAATAAGGCGATTATAAATATAGAGAAACCAAATATATGAAAAAGGAGAAGATAACAAACAATTGTCTCAAAAAAACTACAAACAAAACAAATCTATGAACAGAGGTAAAACACAGACCCTCGGAAATTTCAGAGGTGGGATCAGGTGCCTAGGAGGAGTACGCTTCCCCTGTCGACCGTTTACACCAAACGTGAGTCCTCTGTATTGATCAGGTAGACGGAATATTCTGTAATGAAATTTAGTATAATAACAAAAGCTTAACAATTGATATTAAATATATCAGTCAAAATACAACCCAATGATAAGTTATATTTGCTAATAAGGTCGTTATAGCAACCGTATAATTTACGAAATGCTGACTTTCAGCGAGGTTTTTGAAGATCCCGGTACCATCCGCTTATCTGTCAGTAGCCTGCTTTGGTTTACAATTCGGTCTTTTTCAGAATTTTGAATAAAAACCGTATAAGGTGATAGCAGAATTTTACTACACAAATGAGATAAGTTGACGATTGAAAAGCTGGAGTCAGCTTCTTTGTCATACAGTTCAATTGTTAGTTGGTTTTTAGCGTCTATAGTCAGTAAAACTTCAAATATGAAAAAGATGTGTCAGACTCAGAATTCAGAATCTGAGGTCATGTACACGCAATGAATATAAAGCAATGCATACTATAAATAAATAAATATATAATAAAGATATAGTTTAGATACACCGGTACTGTATATATTTAATGTATTAGGAGTATTTAATTTATTATATTGAGTACGACGAAGAGAGTGATATAAAAACTAGTTATTTAAAACTCCATTGTTTAACAGCTTCGATAGCATAGTAAGAAGAGTTTTCAACCCCCTCCCCTTCAGGAAAACCACTCTTTTCCAATATGAAAAGATAAATTTATATTTCTTTTGCCGTAGAGGCAAGGAATGGAGAATTTTTACAAAACACCGTTTTCAATGTAAATTGCAACTCTTGAAAGTAATGGAGCGCTCAAACAAGGCAGTGATGTCACAAGTGTATTTTAACTTTAATTAACCAATGACCTTCGCAGGTAGGTTAAGGACGCCCATGAAATATCCGCCTTAATATGTTCAGAGAAAATGAATACAATTTTAATTTCTTTTTTAACAGCATTAGTTTTGATGAATGTGCATTTTGGTGTTTGCACTTGTATATAACGGGTCTCTGCTGAGTTCGGCCAAAGCAACATCGCTTACATCAGCTGTTTGTCACGTGACAGGTTTTAAATTAGAACATATATGTACTGCTACAAAGATCGTTAAAGTTAAACGATATGCGGGTATCTTTCCGTTATAAAATTATTCTGTTTTGTTTAAGACGAATTTCTTAACATGAAAAGTGCTGGGAGCAACTTCCCCGTGCTCGGAAATTGTGTAAAATTTAGCCGTCTTTCTATAAACTCCAGACATAAATGCAATAAGCACTGGAATAATGTTATATTAAGGAATAAATAAACAAAGCACAACCAGCTCCCAGCACTTTTCAGAATAGTAGGAATAATAGCTACACGTGTTTAAAAATTCGAAATTTATAGTGAAGCGGATATCGTTGAACTTTTGATATTTTCGAGGGGCTGGACCCCTCATACTAGCTCATTATTGTACAACTGTGCTCCCTGTGGCTATGTGTAAGGTGTACACATTATCAATTTAGTTTGACAATAAAATATGGATTAATATATTTTAGAACATGTATTCATTTCGGTTCAATAAAGCTTGTTTCGTATTTTTTACTTTTACAAGCTACGAAAATAGCTTGATCCACGCCTCAGGTACAGAGAAACTGCGTGTCAAACTAAGAAATGACGTCATCTCAGTAAGTACAGCGAGATCGAGCAGGCTTTCATTCTACATACTCAAAGTGCTATTTTGGCAAGATAAGTTGCACATCCATTTATTTTTATAATATTTATGAGGAACGAAAGTATTTTAGTGTGTTTTAAAAAGAATATAAAGTATTTAATCGTCAAGATTCATTTGACATGTTTTAACTTGACGTCATAATAGCTTGACAGAATCTCTGCATAGGCTGACGTTGATATGGGAGTCCTTAACCTAGCTGCGTTGTCAGGAAATACAACCTATCATTTAGTCAAATGCTAACTGACGTTTTACATAGTAATTGTTAGGCCATTATTTACAAACTGATTTGTTTACAGATTTTTTCGTTTTTCTTGATGATGACAAGGAGCACACGGCAGGTGTGACCGGTCGGCAGGGGACGCTCACACCTCTTTGGCACCTGATCCCATTTCTGATGTTTTTGGAGGTCCGTGTCTGCTCTGCTCCCGATTTGTATTGTATAAATGGACTTTGAACTTTAATACTGTTTGTTATCTCTATACTTCATTAAAGCCGGAGTTCTAAATGCGCCAGAAAAAAAAAATCTAGGAATCATTATCATGTAAAACGATATCTTTGCAATCAAGAAATAATGTTAGTCGTTACCCATGACCAAAAGGGACATTATGAAAAAACATAAATATACCCTCTCTGTGTAAAAAAAAAGAACAATGTAAGACTCCTAACACACAAATGCAACAGCATAATTGGCCCATCGATCTAGAATGACAAGAATATTTTGATCAAAAGAGTAGTTATTGAGCATTTTCGGTTGGGTAAACATTTACAAAAGAGCGACTACGTACAAAGCATTTTGCACTTGAAACTTTGCATGTTTTTATGTTCAAGGTTTTTTAAAACCCCTTTTAATCAGCATTATGACATACTAGTAATAAAAAGAATATCCTCTGAAAATTACCCTGTTTTATTCATGTGCACGTTTTACAACTTCTGTAAAACTTTTAACGGCTGTGGAAAAATAAGGTCTGGGATGTCGTCAAACATTGCTAAGGGCATTTAAACTTTTTTCTTTACAATGGATTTGATGGCTTTCTTCTATTCATTCTTTTGGAGTTTTTTTGTTTCCGTCAACCCAGTGTACAGTTATGGAACTCTAAGCCCTAAAAAGTTAATTACATGGAAGTTTAACAATTCAAAATTATATATTTTTAAAATTTCTAGAGTCATTTAATCAATTATCTAATTAATTTTGTACAAAGTAACATATTTTTTATTACATTATACGAATAAAGTTTTAAAAATCTCTTAAGTCGTATTCAATATTTCATTTTTCTAAAGTGCTTGAGATGTAAATTTCCCTACTCCAATCAAAACACAGATATTTGAAGACTGATCATGATCATGAGCAGCAGTGTATGTTTTTACAAAACACGAGACCCAAAATAATATGATCTAATGTACCTTTTCTTTGAGACTGATAAACAATTAGGTCATTTACGCAAAACTTCGAGCAAAATATGACATTCCTCTTCAATACCGCAATGAAGACAAAACTGAGTTATTCTATATAGTCTCCTCCGATTTCCTGCATATGTCATTTTCTATATTCAGCTCCTGAGAAGACAGCTCATTGTAGAAATATAATTTGTCAATTTACAGTGAATACGCTAAGTCAAAATATGAGTTGAATTTTCAAAATACTAATATACCTTACAATCCTGATCGTACATATCAAACAATCTTTTCTTATTTAAAGATAACATTTATTGCAACAAAAGCAAAAGTTACTCCATCCACAAGAGTATCATCTCTCAAAAGAGAACATTGATCCCTATTTAAATTATACCTCCCCCCCCCCCTACACACACACACACAAAAGAGTGACTATATCCCAACTAACTTCGTTTTGAGGGGATAATAACTACGTAGTACAGTTAAGGTGCGCAATGGAAATATCGGTAATTTTTGTGATGAAAAATGCATTCTTAATCAGGATGGCGATTCTTTTTAGTACTTTATTTATATCGGACGAATGCAATTATGGTTAATAACTATACATCTTGAGGACGATAAAATTTTATATTTAGACTTGT